CCCAATGATGGGGTGCACGGATTATCCGTGAAGTTTGAGGCAAGTGGTGAGCCATAAACCTGTCGCATTCAGGAACACATTACTCGCTGGCGTGATATCTAGTATATCAAATCTTGGGAATACCAGTTACCAGTTATAATATGTGTCGTTTATAGATATGAGAGCGTTGAGGTTATACTGGAGGTAATAAGCAATGAAAGTCTTAATTGAGGCAATTTCGATGTGATTTCGGAGTTGTCGTCGTCCCTTTTAACCACCACTTGGATCTACCTTGGTAGGATGTGTTTTGAAACGTGTTTAGATCCTCGTTTGTCTGTGGGATGTATTGATGTACGTAATATTACGGCCTCGTCCTTCCACGACTTCGATGCGTTAAACCTTATCTCATCGTTTATGATCTCAATTATTAAGTTATTATTAACGTCGTCGTTTCCTATCTCTATTTCATAAGAGTAAAGATAATGGAGGTAGCTGTCTTAAGCACTGGGTGGTTGTGTTATGGTAAATTAGGTCATAGTCGCGTGGCATAAACCTGGCGCTCGGGTCCGCTACTATCCCCTATCCGCACACCTGCATAATCCAATGCCGCTTGCCGCATTTTGCGGGCCAATTTTTTGGTCCAATGAAATAAAATCGGTTAATTGCATAATTGCGTAATCAACTCATCTCCTCGGTTCTTTTTTTTTTCATATCTTTTTTCACAATTTCTCAACAACCGTTAACTTCATAAATTCATCTTGAATAACCATATCCACATGGATTGATCATTTCAAGCTCCCCTTACTATTTATTACCTTTATTAGACACAGCTCAGGTGTTCCTGACTATGGCAAAGGATGCGCCGAGTTGTTGTCACAGGCCTCGGCGCCATCACACCCCTCGGCGTCGGTATTCGACAGTCATGGAGTAGGCTGGTTGCTGGGCACTCTGGTATTGTGAGCACCGCAGACTTTGAGCCGCAGAAAAAATGGCGGGATCTTACGAGCACCGTGGCTGGCATTGTTCCTAAGTCAGATATCGGTGAAGGCCAGTGGCGACCAAACGACTGGTTGTCTGCCACAGACCAACGACGTATGTCCACGTTCGCACACTATGCGATGGCCGCAACGGAAATGGCTCTCGAAGATGCTTCGTGGAAACCACAAAAGCAGGAAGATTTACAGTCGACTGGGGTTTGTCTAGGCAGTGGCATCGGAAATTTAGACGAATTATACGCTACTAGCCTTGCGTATGAACAAGATGTGAGATATAATATATCAGACTGTGAGGTATTCCAACTTAGCTAAGCCTTCATGATAGGGCTATAAGAAAGTCTCTCCGCTCTTTGTGCCTAAGATCCTCATCAACCTAGCTGCAGGGCATATTGCGATGAGATACGGGTTTCAGGGCCCTAATCATGCTGCAACTACGGCTTGTACTACAGGGGCGCATTCTATCGGTGATGCCTCACGCTTCATTGCGTTTGGAGATACCGATGTCATGGTTGCGGGAGGCGCGGAGTCCTGTATCCATCCTCTTACCTTTGCGGGATTCGGGAGGTCACGGTCACTATCTACGGCCTTCAATGACGATCCTGCCTCGAGTTGTCGACCATTTGATCGCCGGCGCAATGGATTTGTCGTCGCTGAAGGCGCAGCAGTTGTTGTATTGGAGGAATTGGAGCACGCCAAGGCTAGGGGCGCTTCTATCTATGCCGAGTTAAAGGGGTACGGATGCAGTGGCGACGCTTACCACATGACAGCTCCACGAGAAGACGGATCAGGGGCGTACCTCTCTATGAAGAAATCTCTAAAGCATGCCGGCATCAAACCTCGTCAAGTCGACTATATCAATGCACACGCAACCAGTACTCCTATTGGAGATGCGGCAGAAGCCTTTGCGATTCACTCGTTAATGGCGGGCGAGGAGGGATATTCTGACGAAGGTGATATTTCTGTGAGCAGTACAAAAGGATCTATCGGTCATCTTCTCGGCGCTGCTGGTGCCATTGAAGCCGTGTTTGCAATTTTGGCCATCACTGAGGTAAGTTTCTATATGGATGCTTTACAGCGTACTGGCCTCGTTAACTCTATGGTAGAATCTACTCCCTCCGACATTAAATCTTACCGACCCCGATGTTACTCCCAAGTTCAATTTTGTTCCCCTTAAGGCTCAAGAAAAGGAAGTCAACGTTGCCCTATCAAATAGCTTCGGGTTTGGAGGCACCAACGCAACATTAGTCTTCTCTAGATTTGACTAATTCTAATTTCAGAGAACTCAGCCATTATAAATTTGTAATAGGTATATTGATGTAAATATGACAAAAGTGACGAGTGGTTTACTGTCTTTATTGTCTTGATTCAAAGAAGGTACAAATTCATTGTACCGTTACCCATGTCCATAATCCCTGTCGTAGATCTCGATAATGAGCAGGGGTCCAAGCTTCTTAATTTTTTTAATTTTTTTTTAATTTTTCATCTTTTTCTTTGACGCGCGCAAGTCGATGACGTGAACGCCGACGCTTGACTTTTTCCAGTACCCTTCGAACTCTCCAATGCCGACAATCACTCGTACCCTTACACTTCAGATATTACGGTAGCAAATGGCGTGCCGAAATTGTAGATGGCAGCTCGCTCTGCTGACCCGACAAGCGACCACAATCACAGAGACCCAAAATGTTGCTACGTTACGACAGCTCGTCGCCGTCGCCGCGGGCCCTCCCCACTTCGATCAGAGACGGAATTTCGGCAGCACTACTCGCCAATCAGGCTTCCGCGATACCGTATCTCGGATCTTAAAGAACACCGTAGCGCAGCCTTACCTCGTGGTAAGTGCTACGGAGGGTTTATACAAGGCGGCGGCCCGCGAGGCGGCATATACAATACCCGATGAAGACAGGAAGGCGGGGACGATACGGAAGACGGAGGAAGGCGAGGATATTGGTGAAGGGAATACGATGTGGCACGAGGGTAATTGATACTTTTCCCCCCGCAGACCGAAACCTTTAAACCAATCAGGCATCATCATGTTGCTAAACTCTCTCGACCTCCAGTGTTCAAGCTCCCCCCAACCTTCAGCACGTGGTCGCAAGTCACAATGCTGCACATGTACCTCCTGTTCGCACGCCTTCGCGATCTAGATCAGGAGTCGGCGCGGTCGTGGCAGCGGCAGCTCGTCGACCACTACTTCTTCGACGCCGAGGCGAAGATGGATCTAGTCCACGGCATCAGCTCCCGAACCATGCGGCACACCTACCTGAAAGACCTGTTCATACAGTGGCGCGGCGTCATTGCCGCCTACGACGAGGGAGTCATCAAGGGCGACTCCGTACTGGCCGCCGCCGTGTGGCGCAACGTGTTCAAGGCCCGCGAGGATATGGACATGCGCGCGCTGGCGGCGGTCGTTAGTTGGATGCGACGGTGCCTCTGTTTGCTGGATCAGGTGTCGGATGAGATCCTGCTGACCCAATCCCCGCACGTTCTCCATCAAGCAATTTTCAGGTGGTCTGCTAAGGGCGAACTCCCGGGAGTAGATGCGCCCGTAAAGGAGCTCGAGGGGGTTGTCGGTGCAGAAAGTCGCGGCAGAGACTTGAAGGTGGATATATGACTGCCTACCTAAGGCATATTATAATGATGGCACCACACTACGTATCAGGAGTATGAAAGATGGTCTGGCATACGCTAGACCTTGCGTGTAGGGTCACGTCTTACACGTATCAAAAGTTGCCACCTCTTTTTGAGATCATATTGTATATATCGTATAGCAGCACATAAACTCAATCAACCCTCTCCCACAACTGAAACTCATACTTCGTCCCATTTTCCTCCTGCACGCCCTCGGGTACTGTTTCACCCGTCCAAGCGTCGAGCTCCTCCTTAGATTTCCTCGCCCAGCTACCAGTCCCGGATTTATTCTCGGCATTATGCGACTCGTCTAGCTCTAGGGGGAAGAACGTGTCGCACTCGAAGTCCGGCGACAGGATCCGCGTCAGCAGCACCCGTCTCGCCTCCGGCAACCCCAGCGCCGCGCCGTAGATCTGCGCGCCGCCGATGACGAACGCTTTCCCGACTCCGGGTGCCGAGTCGGCAGAGGCGGACTTGAGGTACGCGAGAGCCTGCTCTAGCGAACTGACCCTTACCGGCCCTTCGGCAGCCTGTGTCTGTGACTCGGAAGTAGGATGCGACCGGCTGACGACGATATTGAGCCGGCCCTTCAGCGGCCGGAACTTGGGCGGTATGCTGTCCCAGGTTTTGCGGCCCATGATAACTGCGTTTAGAGCTGTTGCTGCGGTATTGGTTGGTTCCGGGCGCTTTGTCACGCGTGCGAAGTAGGCCATTTCCTTTTTGAGCCCTGTCCATGGTAGCGTGCCGTTGCGGCCGATTCCCATATTGCGAGTCGCGGCCACGATGAGGGTTAGCTCCGGGGGAAGCATTTCTGAGGGTGGGTTGTTGGACATATGTCTTTGTTTTGAGACTCTCTTAACTTAAGGAAAAGGAAAGTTTGAAGTTGAAGGGATATGGTTTGATTGGAGTATAGAATGTTACTTCCTATACGTCTTCTCTATGGAGATGGTCAAGTGACTCAAGTCTAAGGAGTGAATGGTTCTACGGTAGTTGGTTGCGGGCGCGGGTGTCACTAACAATTGATTTTGTGGAAATTTAGCACTCCGCAAGTCGCTATAAAAAGCCCTACCTTGGGCGTAGAAGTAGCCACTTACTTCCCTCTTCTTAATCTCATCCATTTCTCAAATTACCCTCATATTTACGCAGAAGGCATTAAGTGTCATTCAATCACCTTCTCTCATTTACGAATATGATACCGAATTTTCTTTGTATGCATCAATGCCTACCTGGCTATTGTTCTTCAGAAGATGCTCAGTGGATAGGACCGCGAGATAGGTAACACTCATCACGAATGAGTGCTGTGATGCCATTACGGACCACGAAATATTGATGATGTCTCTAGCTTTCCTTCTTGGGACATCATTTCATGCCGGAGAAAATAGGGCTACTATCTGAACTGGTGGTTTAGCGCCTGGTCTGCCCTCTTTCTGTGAGGGAGTACCGTAGGTTCGAGTCCTACAACCACCACGGCTCTGGCGTTTTTCAAGCAGCAGCAACCTCAATCTTCCCCTGCTCCTGTCCCTGTCCTTCCCTCAACCTCTGCCCCTCCTCCAACCGTCTCAACTCCTCCCTCCTCATCATCTCCTCAACACGTAACCGCTCCGGGACCACCGCCTCCCTAGGCATCGTAATCCTCCAGCACTTCAACATCTCCTGCCCGCCCACGGCGTCTATCGTCTTCCGCTCCACGAGGCTGTACTCGCCGTCCTCCCTGTCGAAGCAGAACGGCTCGCGTATGCTCACGCGCGGGTTCGTGATGATCCTCACGTCACGGCGCGCGTTGCTCGTCGCGCTGTGCATCATCAGCGGGTGCAGCAGGTACACGTCGCCCACGTGCCCGGTGGCCTCCACGAAGTCGGCGTCGGCGCGGCCCCGCGCGTGGTCCACGTACCACTCGCGGTTACGCTCGCGGCAGAAGTCCGGGTGCGCGCGGGGAGCCATGCGCGCGGACACGCCCTCGGGGTGCGCGTGCAGGTGCCGCGCGACGTCGCGGATGGCCGGCCCGCAGATCATCGTGCCGCCGCCCTGCGGCGCCACGTCCGTGAACAGCGGGGTCACGAGCAGCGCCTGCTCGGGGCTGTCCAGGTAGTGCACGAAGAAGTCGCCGTCGACGTGCCACTCCACCAGCTCGCGCGGCGGCACCGGCACCCCCGCGCGCTCCGCCGTGCCCAGGTTCACGATGAACGAGTCCCGCCACTCCCGCGACGCGGGGTCCACGCGGTCCTCGCCGCCGCACAGCTCGCAGATGGCCGCCCACGCCTTCGGCGCGAAGGCCGCGCAGTCGAAGGTCCGGTGCGCCGGCAGTCTCGTGCGCTCCTTGGTCCAGGTGCTTTTGTCCGTCGGCGACATCCCGAGCCGTGTCCATACGCCTTCGATCATATCGGCGGCTTGCTCCCGCGTGAAGCAGTTTGTGAGTTTGAGGTACCCGTTTGCGAGGAAGAAGGCCTTTTCTTCTTCGGTGAGGGGGGCGGGTGGCGATGCCATGCTTGCGTGTGAGGTTACAGGTGAGTGAGATAAGATTAGTTGGTCAGGACGGCACTGCCGACGTGTTCGACTTGATGGCTCAAGTTAGGATAAAGGGGTAAGTTATATTCGTATAGAAACGAAAGGAAAATATTTGCCGATGTTCTCTCTGCTACCTACCTAAGATCTTATATATCCGAGCAGTTCGTATTCGTCTCTTACAGCATACAAGCCACGACATGCACCACGAGCTTAAAGCAACCCATCAAATCAATACACATTTCATCCCCCTCCCGAGAAAGTAGCTCTATAGCTACGCGGGGAAATCGGCATCTCGAGCCGCAATTCCAGCACCCAATGAAGAGTGAGTCGGTTTCGGAGAACTATTGGAGAACTCGGATCAACTTGATTGCTTGCAGTCGACAGCATTGTCCCGAGATTTGGGGTCGACAAGATAAAAGAAGAGTCTTGCTAGATGTGGAACGAAACGTATGTTTGCAGTTGTATGACATGATTTTGAAGGGTCCTTCTCAAGGGAAACCTCCATCTCTATAGATAGTCCCTCCATATGTCTATGTCTGTAGAGTATATAGCGTCGTAGTAAGCGCTAGATCTATTTAAACAACGAAATTTGAAAGAATGAGATGCAAACAGACGGGACTTCATGTCGTCATCACGTCGCACCGCGGAGATCACTAAGTGTGTCAACGTAGTATGCCGGAACAGCGACAGCATCCTCGGCCTCCCAATGCTCCTTTTTGCTCACCCCAGTCAGCACGGCTAGAGTGCCTCCTAGATCACCCTGGATACCGAACTGAATATCGGTGTTTAGCCTATCGCCGACCATGCAAGTGCGCGCCCGGTCTAGCTTGAACTTCCCTTCAATGGCATCCATCATGGCTTGGCTGGGCTTGCCAAAAGCTAGCGGCGTCTCCCCGGTCATGTTGACTAGCGGGATGGAGATGGATCCGGCACCCGGGAAGAAGGTCTGGCTCATAGGTAGCGTGCTGTCGAGATTCGTCGCGAGGAACTTGGCACCGCGACGGATGTACTGGAAACCCATGGACAGCTTGAGATAGTTGATGTGGAAGTCCAACCCAGCAAGTACGATGCCAACATTTGGGTCCAGCAGTGAGCCATCGGCAAGCCCGTTGAAGTCCTCAGGGGTAATGTCCCGCCTCAGGGATGGATCCGTGCCCCCAATGAAAGGGATCCCTTCGGTGCGTAGTTCGGACTCGATGCCGCTTTCACCAATGACGAACACCTTGTTATTAGGCGCGGGCAACTTCATGATACGTGAGATGTAGATCGCTGACGAATAGGCCGAGGCAAAGATTTCCTCGACGTCGCTAGGGATGCCCAAGGCCGTCAACTTCTTCTGGTAGTCGGGCCGGGACTTGGTAGAATTGTTCGTGACAAATACAAGTCGTTTCCCTAAAGATGTTTTAGTCGCCGTTATTTAGGTATGTCGTATCAGAATTACCCCTTGATCTTAACATCTCTAGTGTCTCTACGATACCCTCAAAGAGGTGGTCTCCGGACCATAAGACTCCTACACATTTTCAGCCTTTAACCCTTCTCGTAGATTGAATAGTCATTCTAACCATCGCAGTCGAGTAGGAAGACCTATAGAAATAGTGAGACTTGAATTGCGGTACATGGTGATTTCCACTGAAAAATAACTCACATCAAATTTATCGAGAAATTCATTGAGCGCGGCAGAATCGCCGGTTAGATACTTCGGTAATTGCGTCATCTCAGATCCGCCTGGTCAGCAGAAGTAAGAAGAGAAATAAATCTAGTATAAAATCGAAAGAAGGAAATCAATCGTTGACGCTATCGTCGTGATCGAGTTATTGTATGAGTGGCTGTAGGAGTAAGGTTGTTGAATTGTCTAAGACTTGCAGACCGGGTGTTTGAGAAAAAACCTCGGCGTCCGTTCCCGGCGCCAATGTTGTAGCGCCCGGTCTCAGAACACGGACATCGCATTAGATTTAGGATAGGAAATGATAGGAAATATGTTATCTTTATAGCATTCATCTGATATATCGTCTAATCTCACTCTCTCGCCATTATCTGAGCAGCAAACCAAGTTTTACGATACAAATCCAATTTTTATTCATCGAAGTTTAAAGCGAACTCGGTTCTTGGTCAATACATAGCAGCAAAATATCCCTACGTCAGGTACCCGATGATCCGGATCTACAAGGAGCATTCGCAGTACCGCGTAGCATCTGCAACTGTTCTTAGTAAGACCACCTACGTTACAACTTGATAGACTGCCCCAAGGACTAAAATCCGATGCTATTGTGATTATGATAAGCTAACGCTTAGAATTCCTTGAACTAGTAACTCCGTCGCCGTGACCACACGCTTCCATCATGCTGTATAGGTCACCCAAGGAGTCATAGATATCCATCAGATAGGTACCCAACATTGAAGTTGCAGACATAAGATATACTACGTGCTGCATTGAAACCCTACCTGTATATAACGTACCTGGATGGAATGCGGGGTGGAGGTTGCATGTGAAATCATCCCGAAGCATGGGTGGTCTGTGATGTGGTGACGAGGTGAGACGCCTTCAGCTTATCCATCCAGTCCATCTAGAGACTGGTCGAGAGCATACTTGCACCGAATAAAGTGACTTGTCACTTACGGTGTCTTCGGAAGATAACAGACGAGCTGACTGAGTGATATTAACACCCTACCGATTAATATCGCATACTACCTTGACTGCTTAATTACCTAGGTAGGCTGGGTAAGGTAGACGACTAATAGGTGAGTCGTCAGAGAATTTCTGAAATGGGAAGATATTAATGGGGTTATGTGATAGATTCGGACGATCTGAGAATGATCACTGATAACTTAACCCAAAAAGGGATCTGATATCTAAGCCCCTTATACTTTTGGAAGAATTTACCATCGTGAGTTGATATCATCGACTGGAAATGTCAAGGGAAAGAAAAAGAATTTGGGTTGGTGGTAGGATCCTGCAGATATTAATAAGACGCAAGGCGAAGTGGGCAGCGTTTTGATTGGCTCCAATCAGCCCTCTCAACTAGGTAGGTACCTCATCCATGGAATGTTTAAGATGCTTAAGATCAAAATGTTGCGCAGACCCCCACCTACCCACTACGTACCTATCTATCACTCACGGATAGGGCTCCGCTTATCTTACAAGCCTCTTCCCTGTCCCGCCCCTCCGGTCCTCCAAGATCAGTAAGCCCTACGTCAATCACCTTAAACACCCCTCCATATTTATTTATTTTTCCCTCCTTCATCCTTCCTCGCAGCTAGGTGCACCGAATGTTGACTTGACATCTTTTTTTCCTACGTACATTTGTGAATGAGATTCCACTAAACAGGCAGTGCCTTCGTCTTCTCTTTCCCGAACCCATCATATCGGTTTATATCTTCTAATTCCCAAGCAAAGATTCTGAGATCTCGTATATCTCGTATATCATAAAATTTGGGTTTCACCCTGTCATGGTCAATTAACAAAGACCTGGTCAGCCCAATCACGAAATCACCGACTCGACGCCAAGGATCCTAGTGGCTAGACTAGGTGCTAATGACGAGTGGACAGTGGACACAACCTAATAACTATCAATATCGATCCTTAAAATCTAGCATCGTGGGCATCCTGGAAAGAATAAAGTGGAATTCGCCTTCTAAAACACTCGTCCGTCGTCTGTCATATACCTGTTTCTCAACATTTGACCATCACGAAGTTTCTTGTCCGTCTTATCGGTATTCATCAACCTTACTTGACCTCTAACCCTCCACATTGAATCCTTAATAATAATTACCTAACTTTAGGTATGTAAGGTACCTCGTTCATATTAAAAAAAAAGAAATTCACTCGTGAAAGCTATTTACCCCACCATCATCCTCCGCAAACAATTTAGAATTCCCCAAATTCTCATATCGTCATATTTATCATATTTGTTCGTATTCCGTACATACTCATACCTGCTTACCTCATAGGTATTCAGAGTTCT